GACTAGAAGAAGACAAAAAAGAATTTGCTGCGTTTAATGTGCTGACAAAGACAAAGGTAACATAAAGAAGAGAGAAGAGAAGAGAGAGCGCAAACGATATTTTTACAATACACCGAATGTGTATACTCTATCTTTCTCATCAAATACAGTGTATAAATATATATATAAACTCTTAATATGAAGCGATGAAAGGTGAAAATGAACAATAACAGTGGGCGTAGTTTGAGATATTGATGAGTATAATAACCCTTGAAGAGAGAGAAGAAGAAAAAGATAATTTTGTCAAAGAAAAACTATTGTTACTATAGTGAATATGACTAAAGCAAAACGATAAGGTGTGTGTGTGTGTGTGCAAATCGACATGAGACGTCTATTCAATAACTAGTTGATCATTATTATTCGTTTTGAAAAAAAACAGAAAAAAAACCGAACGTGTGCGTAGTAAGTTTCATTGAAAACTATAATTAACGAGAGGTTTTCAAACAAAATAATGCTTTACTTTATCCTTAGATCAAAGAAAAAAAAAAGATCAGACGACCATGTAAAAAAAAGAAAGTGAACACTTGGCAATTAGTAAATAATATATGTGAGTGAGAATGATGGATTATCATACGTATATATATATATATATTCACCTAGATTTAATCGTTCTCTACACATTCAAGCAGAAAACATTTTTTTCTTCTTCTTCACTATCGAGAATGGTATAAACTCGTTTTTTATTTATTATCAGCACGTCAAGTACAATAGTAAATAAAGCGTAATACTTCATCATATGTCAGTTAACGATGTTAATCATGAAGAAGAGAGACCGAATATCGTCACATCCTAATATATACTTTCTTTTCTAGGATATATACAAAAAAAAAAAGAAGGAAAATGTAAATTACGATCGTGAGCGATAAACGAATATCAAAATACCTGGAAAGAAAAGCTGCATTGAAAATGAGCAGACATATCGTTTATGTATACATATATACATATAGGTATAGAATGTAAAAAAATTGATACCATTATGTGTTGTTTTTTCAACAATACCCTATAATTATGTAAGCACAAACACTAGCTGTCACTCATCATTTAGTATTCATCATGTTTATTATAAACTATTGAATAACACGACTATCTGAACTTCAAAACGTAGACGACAAACAGTTGGTGGGAATATAGACAGAATGAAATAGCCTTGTACATAAGGTATGACCTTCAAATTCATATGTCTTTCATTCTCGTTGCTCTCTCGCTCTCGGTCTCACACACGGATCATGCCTGTTCAATAAGGTTGTACGTCGATTTTTAAATGAAGCATACATGACTGAAATGAAATTAGCATAATACACTCAACAAGACGAGTGTACGCGAGTATTTGTATATATGCATCACGCGCGCGTGAGTGTGTTAAGTGGCTTATTGTAGAAGCATCGCTACCATTTTAACAATCAGACAGTAGTAACTATAGCAATAAAAAAAGAATGAAATTGAAAAAAAAAATATTGAAACTCTATATTATTTAATTTTTCTTTTTCCTTTTTTTTTTATTGATTTTCATATTCAATGAATATATATCTGTCTAGTGGATTGACCTTTACAAGTATCAATTATAATTGATTGTGTCATAGAGTAGGATATATACGTATATGTCCTGTTGCTTACTGGAGATTGACTGATAGAAGTTTTTTCTTTGTTTATTATTCATTCTATCCGATCTACTTGTTAAAATAATAAACATAAACTTACCATATCATTTTTGTTTTCGACAAATACACTTAGTTTCTTTAGAAATGAAACAACAAGTATAAGTAAATCGTTATTATCACGATCAAGTGCGTGGATAAGTTGTGTTATTATTGATTTATTACGCATTTTTAATTCCACTTTAAGATCTTCAGCTAAATTGAGTAATAAATAGAATGCCACTAAAAAAAACAAAGCATATATAAACTTTTTCAAACTAAATAAATATTACCTCGTAAAAATTGTTCTTGTTTTCGTATAAGTACTTTATATTTATTGTCAATAGTTATATTTGTACGTGTATCACGTGCTTTTTTCTTTTGTTCACGACTTATTTCATCCATCCATTGACTATATTTTTTCGTTTCCGCTTCAATTATCTTTTTTTAATATTAAATAAAATTTTATTTTTTTTTATAAAAATTTCTTACTGTCATTGTCTGAGCACCAATTCTATATTGTGATACAAGTGGATGAAAATCGGTAAATGATGAAAAACAAAAAAATATATAAACGATATTTGTTGCTAATTCAATGCTTTGACTCCATTCTTCTTTATAAACACGTGTTAAAACATTTAAGACACTTTCTAAAAAAAACGATTGAGCGAATCATTGAATATTTATGTTTACCTTTTTGTATAATTTCAGAGAGATTATCCGGATTTCGAGCTAATTGTAAAATAAGTGCTGATCCTTTAATTTTATCTGCAACGCCTTCATATAACATTTCAGCATAATCTTCAATATCATTTAATGAAGCAGTTTCATTGATTTGTGTATCGATCGATGGTTGTTCTAATTCATCAGATATTGGCTTTTGTGAATTATTTATTGTCGCATCACTTGTTAAATTTGTATCACGACGATTTTGTAGATAGAATAATAATTGTTCGACTTCAACTACTTTTGTTGGATGAATTAATTTACAACGATTAACTACTTCTTTAGCTAATGCTCGAATATCAGTTGATGGACCAAGACTTTTAAGGCGAATTCTGTAAAACAAAAAAACGTTTTCTTGTAGTGTCATATATATAGTATGATTCACTTACATTTTTTGTGCATCTTTCTTGTCACCAATCATTGTATTTTGATATTCATCAAGAACTGTTGCTTCAATAGAATAATTAACAATAAGTGCTTTCTCAGTCGGATGAACATCAATTTGACCACCCCGAATACGTCTATAAAACAGAGGAAAAAAAAGATTTAGTATATGAAATATATTATATTTTCGAAACTGACCTCTTGAGATACTTTGCATCGTCAGCTGAATATAAAGCCATTATTGAAAAAAAATAATCTAGATTGAAGATGAGAAAATATTTTTTTTAAATAGTATTAAAAAAGCATGCTTCTTTTTCCTTTCAATCAAACACGTAGAAATTCATTGGTTGTTAAGTATATACCATGTTGCTATGGAATAGTCCTCTTTTGATGAATGTAAAAGAAAATGTGTTCATTAATAAGAGATGGAAATTTTCTTATGAATAAGAAATTAATAATTAATAATATTTATTTCATACAGATTATTTTGAAAGATAGAGGTATTACTATAGATTGATTATGGATTATGGTAGAATATAAGCTGATCGACAAAATATACTCTAAGGATTCATCAATCCAATCTAGTAATGGATACTACAACGAGTACTGCGCCACCACCTTCCATTCTAAAACCATCGGCTGGTCCAATGGGTTCTTCCAAATGGCCAAACGATCTGTCTACGAACGATAAGTACAATTGGCTATTACATGTTATGTATGGTCGAGGTGAATATGAACGTATTCAACAATTTATTCGTATTCAATCTCATAAAAATTCTTATATGACATATATTCAAGCACTTGTTCATCGACAAGAAGGTCGTATTGTTGAAGCCCTTGATTTATTTCAAAGATCTGTCATTGAAACACCAACTTTAATCAATATAAAACAAGTTGCGAAATCTTTAGCCTTACTTGGTCGTTATCGTGTGGCAATTGATGCATACAAAGAAGCATTAACACGTACAACAAATGATTGGGAAATTTTGCATAATTTAGGTTTATGTCATATGCAATTACGTGAATTTACTGAAGCAAAACAATATTTATTACAAGCATTACAAATATCTGAAATTCAAGAAGCTTCTTATTTAGCATTGGGTAAACTTCATTTAATAGAAGGTGAACGTGATGAAGCTGAAGCAGTTTTTGAACGTGGTGCTAGACGTAATCCAGAATCACCCACACTTTTTACTCATATTGGTCTATTAGCATTTGAAGTAAAGAAATAATTTTTATTTTATATATTAGAAAATTTCTTCTTTAGAGAGCTCATTATACGAAAGCATTTGAATGTTTTGGTATTGCATTAACATTTAGTCCAACATATATTCCAGCTATAATGGCAGCATGTCAAGTTATACAAAAACATGGTGATGCTGATGTTGCATTATCAAAATATCGTATTGTTTATGGAAAAAAACCGGAATGTGCACAAGTATGGAATAATATTGGCATGTGTTTTTTTTCAAAAAAAAAATTTGTTGCTGCTGTTAGTTGTTTAAAACGTGCTAATTATTTAGCACCATTTGAATTATATATTCTATATAATTTGGCACTTGTACATTTATATTTACAACAAAATGCATCTGCTGCAATATTTCTCCAATCAGCTATACGAATTAATCGAAAACATGCACCAAGTTATGCATTATTCGGTAATATATTTAAATAGAAAAATGAATAATTTATTAGATTTTATGTATATATAGGTGTGGCATTATCAAAACTTAATGATCCAGACAATGCATCACGTGCATATGCATATTCTCTTAAACTTGATCCAGTAGATCCAGTGGCATTACTTAATTATGGTATTTTTCAAGCGAATACAGGTGTATCACCATCACAAATAAATGCGACTATGCAACAATTTCATCAATGTTATGCTGAACGTGCTGCATCGGCTACTAATCAACGTGAACTTGATACTTCCATGTTAGAAATTGCAACAAAATTAGGTTATCCAGCTCCACCACCAGCACCTCCACCAGATTCAAAATCATTATTAGCAGCATTTCCACCACCACCTTTTCCAATTTTATCAACATCTACTCAACCTGAAGAAAATAATGTACGTTCATCATCACCACCACCAGCACCACCAGCAGTATTTTCTCCCAGTGTACAAAGAGATGAAGATCTCTCAAAACAACCTTCCGAAGAAATACCTGTGGTTAAAACGAAAATTTATGATGATGCACGTCATAAACAACGACGAACAAAACATCAACCAGTTGAATCATCAGATGCTGATGCTGTGCAAAATAAATAATAATAACAATAATTAACGATTTTCGAAATATTTTCTTTAATGTAAAACTGTTTGTTTTTGTTACAAAAAAAAATAATTGTTGTATACCAAATTTAACTTATGTTATTCAAATCATATTCTTATTTTCTATATGAAAACTTTCATAAATGTTTATAAACAACGAATGTATGTTGAAGTAAAAATTATTTTTACTTTTTACAGATTTTATTATGTCATTTCAAGTTGAAACAACACCTAATCATTATGTTGATTATGAAATATTTTCTTCTACGCGATTTAATCAACTTGGTCAACAATTTCTTTCTCTTATTAATCCAAAACATGGAACTACACCTAATGAAAATGAACCCGTCGCTAAAAATGAAAATGAACCCGTCGTTAAAAATGAAACTGAACCTATCGCTAAACATGAAACTGAACCTGTTGCTAAAATTGAAACTGAACCTGTTGCTAAAAATCTTTTACAACAACCATCTGATCTTTGTCGACCACAACAAGAACAAACGACATATTATTTAGCTAATCAAGATGTAATTAAACAAATTAAAGATAATTTTCTTCCACATAAATCCGTATATCCTTATACACCACCATCATTAGTAAATAATAATGATGAACAATTAACAACATCATTACTTGAATGGCAAACAACAACAAAACAAACAGTAGAAACCATACCAAATCTTTCATCACAAATAATTACAATTGTTCAATGTCGTTTGAAAGTAACAAGTGCTTTATCAACATCATCTGAACGTGCTGGACGACATGCTATTCGTTTATTTATTGATTCTCAACAACCGAAACCAATGGATGCATTTTTAGATATTGTTAATGAAGCACTTTTACTTGATCTCGATACTATTAAAACATTATGGGATGTTAAAGGTGAACAAGTAAGAAAAATAGTAATAGAAAAAGAAAAAGAAAAAAATATTTTAATTAGATAACTGATCCAATGGATTTACTTCGTCATGGTCGTTTATATTTTGCATCTCGTGAAGAAGAAATTACTTTTGATGAATTAGATATTAATGATAGTGAACTTGCTTCAATTAATCGCCTTGAAACAGTACGTAATCAACTGTCACAACCAGCATATTTTGTTGAAAAACCTACTGCTATAGAAAAAGTACGTAGTGCACAATCAAGAAAAAGTACATCATTTAATGGTGAATATCCTCGTTCATCATCTGGCCATGGACAAAATGCAAGTTATACAGATTTACAAACATTTCCTGAAGTATTTTTACGTCATTATACAGTCGGCGATGTCGTAGGTGATGGACGATTTTCATCAGTTTATGAATGTCGTGATAAAGCCACTGGAATTCAATTAGCATTAAAAATTATTGATAAAACTAGATGTGAAGGATATGTAAGTAAATCGAAAAAAATGACTTCTGCTTATTTTTAATCTTTAGGGATATCTTATTGAAAATGAATTATCAATTTTGCGACGTGTTAAACATCCATATGTTATTAAACTTGTTGAAGAATTTCAAACAGAATTTAAATATTTTCTTGTTTTTGAATATGTATCAGTAAGTTTCTTGTTTCTAATTAAATTAAAAACGAAATTCTCTCTCTATATATATAGAATGGTGATCTATTAACAGCTATAACTACAATGAATAAATATAGTGAACATGATGTTGCTTTGATGTTAAGTCAAATAGCTTCCGCTTTAAAACATATTCATTCATTAGAAATAGTTCATCGAGATGTTAAATTAGAAAATATTCTTGTAAGAAAAATGTTATACGAAAATTCTTAGATTTTTCTTTTTCATTAGATTGCAAATCATCCTGATCATAGTGTAACATTAAAATTAGCTGATTTTGGTTTAGCACTTTGTTTGACTGATCCAAAACCAACTATTTCACCAAATGGTAATGATCTATGTGGTACACCCATGTATATCGCACCAGAAGTCATTCAAAATAGAGAGTAAGTTGACAAGCGGGTTCGATGGTGTAGTGGTTATCACGTCTGCTTCACACGCAGAAGGTCGCGAGTTCGAACCTCGCTCGAACCTTTTCTCCTTTTTTCTTTTTCTTGCAATGACAGAATTGAATCCATGAGTAAATGATTGAAAGAAAAAGAACGATATTTAATTTTAGTTATCGCGTCGAAAATGATATGTGGTCACTTGGTATCATTGCATTTACTCTTCTTAGTGGTATGGCACCATTTGATGGGTATGATAACCTTTTTTTATTCATAAGAAATATTTTTTTCTTTTTCAATATATTACAGAGATACTGATGATGAAATTATAGCAAATGTAATTAATAAAACAATTGATTTTAATCTATTACCTAAAATATCAGCTGAATGTCAAGAAGCTGTAACATTAATGCTTGAACGAGATATAAATAAACGAATAAGTGCGGCTGAATTATTGGAACATCCATGGATTAAAGTGAGTTAATATATTTATTTGAATAGATAGATATTTAACAACGATTATGTTTATAGCGTGAAATGCAAAAACGAGTTGAACCTGTTAGTAATACATCATCACCACGACGACCTAGAAAAGTAGCCACACAAAAACAACCAATGTTAACAGTAAGCATCAATTTGACCTTTTAGGAACAAAAAGAATTTTTTATGAATAATATTTTTAGTTTTCTTCCGTTGACCATCCACATTCATTCCAATCATCGAAAGCTGGTGGTCTTATGAGTGATATTGATGAACTATAAGAAAACCATTGTTTTTTTTTAACTTAATGATGAATCTCATAAATTATTTTCTTTTTCATCTTAAAAAAAAGAGTTTTCAACTGTATTTCACTTAATATACAAACAATCATAGGCAAAAAAACAAAATGTTATTTTGTTGATAGCTGTTGAGATTTATTGGAAATAAGTATTGGATTGGAAAGTTTTACAGCAGGTGTAATTAATGATGATGATGATGATAATGGTTTAATTATATTAATTTGTTTTGATACAAGTGGTATTGATTCAATATTATTACAATTAGTTTTCGGTGATGTTACTAATCGAATAGTTGGTGGTGATGTTGATGTTCGTTGATTATTTGATTTAGCAATAGAAAGACGAATCACACGAGTATTATTATTATTTGATGGAGATATAATATCATTAGTTACCTAGCGAAAAAAAAATTTTCCACAGAAAAAATATTAGATTTAAACTTACAGATTGTGTATCATTTGGATTAGTATGTGTTGATATAATTGTTGTGACTTTTTTCAATTCATTATTTTGTGCATCTCGAACAATAATTGTTTCATTATTTTCTCTACTAAATGAATGAATATTTTGTGTTGTAATTGTTGATCCACCCATAATTGGTTTCAGCTCAATAATTGGTGTACAATGTGCTTGTTGTTTTAATTCAGTTATATCTGAATATATTCGAGTATATTTATCATATCGATTTGTTTGCGATGAACGACGCTGTGATCGATGACTTCGTTCATTTGATTTTCTTAATTCAAGTAAACTCATTGCAGTTTGAGTATTTGAAAGAGATAAAGATGTTATTGGTTTTGGGAGAATTAATGTTCGACCTGTAATCATATTTGATTGAGACGGAGGTGATGGAGATGATAAAGGTGTAGAACATAATGTTGAAATTAAATTTCTCATTGCTAAAATCATAAAAAAAGTTCTTTGTACATCAATGCATAATGTGTGTGTAGAAAATAACTATTCTTACATTTAGCACTTCTTATATTTGCTTGATTTTGTCTAATTGAATTATGAAAAGTTAGAATATTTGGTGATTTTGAAAGAATAATTGATTGTGTATTATTCATTGAATTAACTGAAACAACATGTGCAATCATTGATGGTTTATTTAATAAGATTTTTTCATTTTCATTTAATGTATATTCAAGTGGATCAATAATTTGTTGATATTTTTTTTTATATTCTTCTTTCGAATAATTTGGTGATACACAAAGACTTGGTAATGATGCATGAACACTAACAATTAATGCAAGATCAAGTACACATTGTGTTACAGATATAACTATTGTTCTACCCCATTGAAAAATAAGTTCATTAAAAAATGTTGTATCTATATTATGTAATGATGAAATATTTGTTTGAGCCATTTTATTTAGAATAGTTGGAGTATTTAAACGACGTGATGGTGTTGTTGCAGGAGATACATTAACAATGACAGGTAATGATGAACTAAATAAATAAATTTATGTAAAAAAATAAATGATTTTAAATAATATACTTAATAGAATGATTTATAGATGTTGGTGAACATTCTGGACAAGAACATTTGATTAAAAAACGTTGTTGAGGATGTCTTCGATCATGTATATGAACAATCAATGGACCAGATTCACTTAAAGCTTTTAGAAACCATGAAGAATTTGCATTTGATGATATTGATGATGATGGTGGAGTCAATGAATCAGCTTGAGGTGATGTAGAAATTTGTACATCAAAATCATCAACTAGAATATCAATTTTTGTCCAACTTACACGAAGACCACGAAGTGCCTAATATAAAAATCGAAAATTTCAATTAATTAATAGTTATTTTTGTCAAACTTCTTCGATTTTTGATAATATTTTAGTACGTTGTGGATGCCAATCCGCTGTACCATAAATAGCTAATTGAACTTCGATTATTTTATGTTCACGAGAACGAATTTTTAGTAAATACGTATCTGGATCATGACCACCTTAAAATAACAAAGATATATATAGAATTAAATTATAAATCTTATCTTACGTCCTAATGCACTCGTTAGTTTTGCTCGTGCTTTTTCAATTGGTGTTTGTGGTAAATTATTAACAGGTTCGAACTCGATAACAACTCGACTATTAATAATTTGCTGTGTGTTATCATCACATTCTGATTTAATAATTGGTAAACGTTCACCAAATTGTTGTTCAATTTCAGCATCAGTTAAATGAAGTGTTGATGGAAGTTGAGATGAAGAAGAAGGAGGACGTTTTTTTCGTATAGGTGTTTTAAGTTTTTTTGATCTTGTTGGTAATTCACCTTCTTCATTATAAAATTTTTTTCGTTTACGAATACGTTGTGGACGTGATGAAACTGTAGAATTTGCAGATTGATGAAGACGATGAATATTTTGAACATAATTATCCAAATCACCAGAACTAAAAGAAAGAAAAAAATAACATTTCATCATTTCATGATATTTACTTACAATTCCGAAGTACCAAAACCTATAGAAGGCATCTAGATAAAATTTAAAACAATCAATAAAAAATATCTAATAATATTAAATTCATCTTACATTTATATCAATAGGTTCTTCTTTTGGTTTTACAATTACCTGAAATAATAAAAAGAATTATTAGTTTTATTTACAACATAAAATAATTTATACTTGTTCAGATTCAATGAGTTCATTTTTAATAATTGTTGGTTCAGCTAATTCTACAGATACTGAGGTTTCTAAAAGAAAATTTCGGGAAATTATTTTTGAAATAAAATATTCTATACCTTTATCATCGTGTACATTTTGATTGGAAGATTCTTCATTTTGTAAACAATCGAATATATTCGTTGAAACATTTAATGAATTTTGATTATCATTATCAGAGAGAAAAATAAATTCATTTGATTGAGATAGATTTCGAACACTTGCTCGTTTATTATTTAATTTTACAGGTGTTGTTAATTTTCGTCTTTTATTATCTAAATTAATGAATAATAAATTTCGAATAAATTTAAATATATATCTACCTGGTGATTGAATAATATTATTGTTATCTTTTAATTTAGGTGACCAATTTATTGGATGATCTGTCGTGAATATATCTTGTGAAGATGTACGAGATAAACTTAGATTATCAGTAACTTTTGTTACATGTTCAGGTAGATCAATAAGAAATTGTTGAGCAAATGTTTTCATATCTATATTAGTATTATCATTTTCTATAGGTAGGTCAGTATCTTTATCAATAAATTTATTATGAAACTGTTGAATATCATCAGGTGAATTAAATGCAGCAAAATATTCATTATCAATAAGATGATATTCATTTGATGATATTTTATTATCATGTTCATTTATTTGTTGAACAATTGTTGAAAAAAGTGACATAGATGGTTTCTTTTTACCCATTTTCTTTTTTCACGGAAAACAATCGAATAATTGATTTGTTACTTTAATTTGCTAAATACAATGCAAAAAATCGCGGCCAACATCAACGTAGCCTCCGCAACAAACTGACCAAACAAAGCAATGATTTGCCCAGTAAAGTCAGAGCTAGCATTCATTGGAGATTGATAGTTTGTTGAAAGAAATTCATTAG